GAGTCTTGTTGTGTCGTTTCGTCATTCTTTGAAGTGTACTGCCTGTTTTTGTGGGATGAATCGTTTTATGCTAACGTTTTGAGAGGCTGGCATGGACCGTGTTGCACCACTGCAGCTGCTGTGGGAGACAACGAATAAAAAAAAATCCATGCTTATCGACGAAGTGGGTGCAGATGATGAAATGAAGGCGCGCAGATGCATGGACAAATAGATGGATGCACAGACAGACAGATGCACGGACGGATAGACGGATGGTCAATTTCTGGCCATAGGTGCTTTTAAGCCGTATGCATTTATAGAGGACGAAGTGAAGGACTAGGTGGTTCCAAGGCTTTCCATTTGTATTACTAAGCAAATTCTAAACATCAATTTCAGACGCGTTCAAAATTATTGCAATTTCAATTCAAGATATATATTTTATTCTGTCTGGTCAGAATGGCAAAAAGGAATTATTGCACTTTTTGTATTTACATGTGCTTCATCCTCCTTCTGTTAGGTATCATTTGAAAGGCCTTAAATTTCATATCCTCAATTCTTGGCCAATCCCCCCGAGTTGGCAAGAGCCATTGTGTAGGCATCATCGTCATCATTATCCCGAGCTTGCTCCTACGCGGATTACTGTGACTGTGCAAACACTGTAAATACATCAGTCCTTTATCGTCTCCCCCGTGACATCCTTGGTGGAGGAGCTGGGTATATCCTAAAGCACAACTTCACAGTGGGCATCTTCTTGGGCAGACTATCATGTTGACACACAGTTCCATCAATCCAGCCCACGGTACGCCAGATGCACCCAGCCATGTTGTGGCCCCTACCTCCGAGACCCTGGCCCCTTCTGCGGGACTACGTGCACGTGGAAAAGTGGGTGGCCAACTATGAGCGCGCCAGTCACTGACTACGAGTGATGCGCATGCGCTTTGACTGTGCATGGCGCATGGACGGATTGAATCCTAAAACACAGCGAGTGTTGTCAGAGGTGGCGCGGGAACAGCGAAAAAATGGACAGCAACCGAAATGAAGGCAGCTTAGTCTTACATCTCGCTGAATTCGAAACAAAGAAGTATAATAAAATGCACAGATTCTGTTTGTATTTTGTAATATTTTTTTCTTTTTGCTTCTTATATCCAAGCGACAGATTGCACAAATTACACGTCTCCTCGAATAATTCTCGCTGTATCACAGTGCTACTGTAGCGCACAAAGAACCATTCTTTGTTGTACGTCACCTCCTCAATGTCGGGACAAGCGTTTATGAGATGAAAGGCAAGCGGCAGTCAGTGCCGACATTTCAACTCTTTCCGGGGCGCGTAGCATTGAAAATCTTGACATGATCGTGAGCGTCCAGTGCATGCATTACACTTGCCAGCTCGAAATGCTACAACATAGGTGAGGGACCCTTAGAGGTGTTTACAGACAGAGGAGAGGTTGACCCTCTAGCTTTTCAGCGATTTGGCCATTTGCTCCTGCACTGCCCAACCCAGCCATACCAAAAAGAAAAAACCCAGGAGCATATTTATGATGCGATAACATTAAAGAGCTCGTTTCGCAGAAATTCCGGCGTCAGCATCGTTGGTTATGAGCAAAAAGGCATCTTATGTGTGACTGAAAAATCGAGAACAATGCAAATAAAATAAATGATAAAAATGTCCTGGATCAGAGTGGGGGTCAAACCAGGGTCGTTTGAGTCCGAGTGGGTATCGAACCCAGGTCGTTTGCATGGCAAGCGGTTGTTTTACCACATGACCTCGCATCTGCTTGTGAATACCGGGAAAAGAATTTCCTCTACTTGGAAATGCAGTGAAATCAGCTTTCGTGCTTTACAAACACACGTGCCCAGTATACATGCTTCACAATGCAACAAGAAATATTGCAGTAAGTAATGCGTGGTACAATCGCGGATTGCCAGCAGGTGCCAGAACATGTGATTTATCATAATGGCTTTGTGGATTAAAGCTGGTCACTCACTACAAAAGGCACACACGCTACTGCACGTGTTCCCTTAAGCTCATGTAGTGGGTGCATAGCAAGTTCGAAAAGGTTTCATGCACTAAATGTTTGAAGTACGCACTATGAACAGGATATCATTATTGAGTTCAACCCCTGATTTATTGATTATATGTGGGGTTTAACGTCCCAAAACAACCATATGATTATGAGAGACGCCGTAGAGGAGGGCTCCGGAAATTTCGACCACCTGGGGTTCTTGAACCTGCACCCAATCTGAGCACACCGGCCTACATTTCCGCCTCCATAGGAAATGCAGCTGCCACAGCCAGGATTCGAACCCCCGACCTACGGGTCAGCAGCCGAGTACCTCAGCCAGTAGACCACCGCGGCAGGGCGCCACGTTCAACCCCTAAAGCCAAAGCTTTAGGGTCTCCTAATACTTTTTTTCATGGTGGACACGTAAAGGGGCCCTGCAACACTTTTTGAGCAGGCTCCCGACAACATGCGAGCCGAATATTATATAGCAGCACGTGGCCCGGAATTAACAATAAATTATCAATGTCCGCTGAAAATTGCTTTCTCTCCTCTCAATAAATGACGGAAAATGCTCTAAAATAACTCGTAGAAAGCCCATCTATCAGCCATTGGCTGATTTGAACACAGCACACTCCGTCTTTACAGAGATCGCCGCAAAAAGCCGCGATTTGTCTACGCGTGCGCGCGCGGTCACACCAAAAAATTTGCGCATTCTAAGAAAAAAAAGTGCTTAAGGTCACAAGGTGCGCGTGACGTATCTTTTTTGCTCCTGTCATCCCTCCCTGCTTAGCTTCTAGCGGCTTTTGTCGGGATGAGAGAATGCAATTTCAGCAATCGACAAATCTTCGTAACTCCACTCGCACTGGACGGATTCTTAAAATTTTAGCGGCATTGAGTTCGTGAGGCAATAGGAAGCCAGAGCAATGCATGGCGGCGCTGCGACTCTGGACAGGCAGCGCCATCTTTGGTAGAAAAGTAGACATTGGGATCCATGTTGCGCATTTTCCCTTTCCTTCCAATGCGCTGCCGCCTGCTTACATGCTAGTGCAGAGAGCACGCGCTGTGTTTGAGTCGCCTTGCAATGTACCGCCTGCAATGCGGTTTCATAAAGATCTCTGAGCTGGACAAGCATTTCCGAGAAGCCAATCTAACAAAAGGAGTAAAGCTCGTTAGTCAAGCTTATGATGTGGAGCAGATGACGGAAGACGAGGACGCCAGAGTCAGTGCGAAATGAATTTCTCAGGTCCTCTGTGATGATACCGTGTACGACATATGCCTCGAGGTAAGTCCCATTCTGCTGACGTGAAGACGCGTACTCTCGATGTGCTGTATTGACATTTAAGGGAAACCATATAATTGTTTTGATGTGGTATCTAGCAGTAGCAGCCACGTACTGTCATGTGCAAGCGTTTGCGGCGTGCTAAAAAAATGAATAAAAACTGTAGTTATAGGGTCATTGCATTAAAATGTCAGAGAAGCTTTAGAGCTATGTCCTCCGTGCTGTGGGCGCATGATTCGCTGACGTCCCCGTAAAGCAGCAAGCTGAAGTTTAACCACAGCGAGTCATGTTGAAATGCTCGCCTCGTTTTTTTTTTTTTCCGGCTTTAGTGTCTAGCTTGCTATATCTTTCGTGAACGTGGCTGTCGTGACTGGCTGGGAAACTGATACAGCTTTACACGTAGACAGTGTCCCTTGCTGTTGTCTGCATTGTTGTGGCAGCCCACAACACAACCATACTTTGGACGTCACCGACGCTTCCGTGGGGCCACTTTTTCCATCGCAGAAAGGCAACTTCGCACAGTGAGCGTCTCGTTTTAGCACGCCAAGCTGACAACATGGCGCCAAGTTCCCCGCACCGACTGCAGAACGCGTTGCGCGCGTGCCGCTCACGCTCCCGTTTCGGCGAAGCACATCGACTCGCCTGCAACCACTCCTACGTCTCCAAGTTTTCGGGAGCTTGCCGCCAGGGGCAGGCATGACGTTGTTGTCGCTCCGCAAACTTGAGCTTCGGTTTCCTATAAGCTCTTTCAGTGAATTCATTCCATGGTTAATTGAAAAACTGTTTCAGGGCCCCTGCTGGACAATGAAAGAAGAGAAAAGAAGACTATTGCATGGCCGTGCTGAATTGGCGTCTTTGTATTATCGTAAACTATAACACTTCTTGCTTTGCTCTCGTAGAAGATCGTGCACGTTTTTCATCGAAAATTTAAAAGTTATTGTGCCTATATTTACGATGTGTTAAATCTGTGTTTTTCCTGCTTGTTTCTTGGCACTTGAAACAATTCTTTAGTGCCTAAAAACCTGGTCACTACTTATCAGTGCTCCATTTAAGTTTGTGAACTTTTAAGACTACATGCAGTGCAGTTTCAAATTTCACACCATCTCGAAACACACCTGCCACAACTTGAAAATGAAAATTTGTAGATTTACCTTACAGCAATTGATAAGAAATGCCACTCAAGCAGCACTTTTGTTCAAGGTGATCAAAGGAAACTGGCTGTCTGGCATGACCAAGGAGGACAAACAAGAAAGGAGGAACTTTGAAGTGTTATGTGCACCTGTACATTCTCATCAACAAGTCTGCCTAATGCTGTTGCCATGGAGAAACTAGACCACACAGGAAAGCTTGGTAAACACAATTACAGTGCATCCAAAGCTTAAAAATGGTAATGGTTTGTCCCATCCAGATATCAGTTGTAACAAAGTTTTATATAGGGCTGATGGATTTGAACATTATGCTTTATTTATTTGGACTAAGCAATGATCATAGATGTAGCTGCTCTCCGCATTTTCAAGGGACTAGTTTGCCTTACAGGTTAACTTGAGAGAGAATTACAAAGTGAAAATGCTGGTGAGACTGAACATAACTTAAGCATGATCACATAGTATTTAAGAGTCGCATGAAAGAGTAATAAATAAACTGCAAGACTACAAAACTTAATGAAGGTGTAATAAATAATGAAGCAACAAAACAAATTGTGCCTTTATATAAGATAAAACTGGACAATTTGTACGGCATTCTGTTAAGAGTGGTGAACACGCTTTATTGACAGCAAAAAAAAAAAAAAATGTACAAGATACCACTGTGATGTCAAATTCGCAAAAATCCTGCACTGGACAACAGCAGTGGTATACTACAATTGTATACTTAAAGAAACGATGCAAGCATATTTACAGTAGCACTTCATGACTTTTAGAACATGACTCCATTTTATAAGTTGATGAGATGATTGCGCTTAAATGTAACTTTATTATGTGGCATCCATTCCATGCCTCACACCAACAGCATTTTACAAAGAAAAGAATTATCATCAGTGACAATTCAGTTTGCTTGCTTTGAATTTTAGTTCAGAATGAAAAATTAACTAAGAATGGACATGACAGAAGAGTAGACTGTGTCAAGTTGTACTTCGGGAAGCCATAACACCCTTGTCTTTGGGAGTCCTTACTTCCTTTTGCGTGATCACGGGAGACATACTGCCAAAATACAAAAACGTCTGTTCTCAACATCGAAACCAAGGGCTTTAAACATTTCGCTTGTGCGAAAATGAGCGAGAAAAGGGGCAAAAAGACCAAGGGGAATCACTGCAATAGAACAAGGCACAAGGAAAAAACAAAGAAATGAGAGGAACTGATGGAAACCCTTTACCATCTGTCCAATTTGTGTGCTTCAACGCCAAGCACAAGCTTACTAACACGACCTCACCGGAAACGCAAAGGCGAACAATATAGTGAGAACGGCATAAAAAGAACAGAATCCACCATTCCTGCAAGCATTCCCACACTATGTTTTTGCCAGAGCCGTCACAGAGAAACCTATTCTCCTGGCTCGGGAGCAAACTGCACTGATACCTGGCCTGTCATTGTGTCCGTCACCATTGGTAGTGTGAGAATGCCATGGTCCTCACCAACATTGCCTGCGGAGCCAGGATCCAGGGACACTGTCACACAGCCTTGCTGTGCTCCGGACCCTTCTTGTCCTTCGGCAACACCTCCAAGTGTCAGTCCTCCTGGCAGAGCAAACACAGTGTTCCCGCCTTCCGAACTGATGGGAATCAGGAGCACCCTCTCCCCGCCATCCGAGGTGGGAACCTTGAGCACAGCAGCATTGGCGAAACCTTCCCCACTCTCCATGTTCAAGCCTTCTTGACCCCCTGGTACCATCATGACAATGGGCATCTGACCACCTTCACAGGTGACAGGGGTCTCAGCATAGGCCATGCCTTCGGGCGTGATGGCTTGCTCTTGGCTCTCTGTACCTTCCGCCATGGCCTCCGCAGCAGTTTCTCCCTGCTCTACGTCGTATGCCTCCTGAGACATGCACAAGTCTCCAGAGCCCACAGATAGCAAAGGCGCCTCAGTATTAAGAGCACCAACAACTTTCGTCTCGCTGCCAAGTTGTGCCGACGTCGTGGTCATGTCGCCAGATACCATGTAAGATGATGTGTCCATCGTCATGATGCGAGCCAGAGACGACGACGCGCCATCTCCGCCAGCAGCCAGCATGGCCATCTCCTCTGAGGTGACAGCTACTCCTTCCTGGGACCCTTCCGGATGGCGAACGATGGCAAAGTGAATCACTTCGCCATTCTCAGACTCCACTGCCAGGTGCTCTAGGCCTTCCTGATCAGCAGCCATCAACAGCTGTGCTGTTTGTTCGCTCATTTCGGTCTCCATGGTACTGTCCTGTTGTTCGGGCTCTTGATGGTGCATGGTGACTTCCATCTGGTGTTGCTCTTGTTCCGCTTGGACTTGCTCCTCAGGTTGTTCTTCGGGATGCATCATCTCTTGCGTACCTACCTGCTCTTGCTGTTCAGGCTCTTGCCGTGGTGATGTGTCTTCTGCAGGCTCTCCGAGCTGCTGTATAACAAGCTCATCACCACCTTCTTCTTCGTTTGTTTCCATTCCCTCTTGCTTCAATGAGGACATCCGCTGCTGTTGATCTGTAAGCTCCATGTCAGCAGAATCCATGGTCACAGACTCCACGCCTTGGAAGTGCGTCAGGCCTCGTGGGCCCTGGCTAATGGTTGCTATGCCGTCAGCCGTGTTTATAGACACAGTCACCTGGCCTGGACCAGTTGCTTCCGCTACAGCTCGAGCTAGCTGTGTGGCCAAATCTTCTTGCGGGTTTATTGCCAGAGTTGTGGTGAGTCCTTCTTCTGTTGCAGGTCATCAGCTGGCTTCCACCAAGATCTGCTGATGACAACGTGCCATCTCCTGTGACCATGTTGATCACAGAATCATCGGCAGTCATGTAGCCCTGCTCTTGGGCTTCTCTGCACAACCAAAAAGAAATAGAGCGATATAAATGATACATAACTGTTACTTTATTCTTAATGATGAGAGAAATCTCAAGGAGAATAATACCCGATTCAATATTATAACGTGGTTCAACGGGTTATAACGTGGTTATAACGTTGTGAACAGCATAGGCTGTTTTCTTTGCTGGACTAAAGCTAAAGCAAACACTAATGCAGATCTGCTTGAATATGTGTAAAAAATACCGTGAACACTAAAGGCGCCAGAGAGCCTGCATCAGCAAATGATAGGCTCTGCTTTAGTATGAACACCTCCAAAAGCCTGTAATGCAGATCTCAGCGAGTACAAACAGTCACATAAACAACAAGGAGCTTGAATGCAGCCAGCAGTGAACTCACCCTTGGTGACCTGTGCAAATGTGAGCCGCAAACAGGTCCTCAGACTCGAAGCCGTTCAGGCAGCCCGCACAGATAAGCTGAATGAGCTCTCCTGCAGATTCTTCCTGGCTCTCCTGCGGGCTCACTTCAGCCAGAATGTGGGAATCTGCATAACAAGATACCACAGCGTACTTGAGGGTTGTATTACTACAACCGCTTTTTTTATTGTATAGTATTTTGGGGCATGACATCCGCACTAGTGCGTTAATAAGTTACAACAATTTTAATGCTTGTAAAATTATATACTAATGTAAAGCCTTCCTGTAACAAAGTTTAATGAAGAGGCAAAAGTTACTGTTGTCAGACATTACAACTGGCAGAAGGCAGTAGTTGACAGAAGCTGAAGCCTCCTATGTCAAGTTCCACATTAAACAGATAAAAGTATGTTTCCTGCTACATTCGCTTTGATGATCTGACCGCCCTCCCCAATACAAAAGGCTTATCTAGCTTTGTCATTGACCCACACAAGTAGCAGCGAAACAGGCCCATATGAATTTTGTCAGCATGACAATATCATGGAACCCACGAATTGAGAGCAAGTAAATGGTTCCGAAGAACAGAATAAATTTGCATGCTAGTGTATAGTGAGCCAGGTACGAAATAAGATGCTCAGCTGGCATGCTGAGAAATCGTACAGTTGACTCTCGCTTATTCAAACTCGAAGGGACTTTTGAATTTTGCTTATATTATCAGGTTTGAATTATCAAAAGTTTTCAGATAGACGACTCTAGGTAAGTGACACTACACATAATAATTAAGAATTGTTTTTTTCACAATTAAAATTTTTAATTGTTTTAAGCCTTAACTGCACACAGTGAACAGAAAGCAGAGGTGTTAAGTCCACAAGTTTATTGGCCATTTACTGCTGATCAGACATTTTAAAGAAATCGTGAATTACCAACTGGTTCATTGCTATAGATATGTGCCTTCAGCACCAAGCTGTCTATACCAGCTGAGAAGCATCACGGTTTACTATGCATGCGCTTCATTTGTCTACTTGCAAAGCCTTTTTCCTTGAAGGCCTCAGGTGCTTATTTTACATTTTTAGACAGTTAGAATTATATAGGAACACAAATTTTTGAATAATAGTGGGAAAGCAGCTGATATTTTCTGGTATGAACCTATGAAAAGTATGAATTAAACAAATAATGGAGTATGAATTAAGAGGCTTTTAAATACATTGAAAGAATAGAGAGACACCCAAAAATTGAATTTTGTTTGAATTGACCAAAAGTATGAAAAAAAAAGGAAGTTCAAGGATTTGCAAAAATTCCAGCACTTTCAAGGCCTTGAAAATGAACTTTTCAAATTTAATGGGAAACTCTGGCATTCTTTCGATATTAACAAACTTCAATAAAACTTGGAACATGTGTTCTCACCTGGTAAAGTAATGATGTGTGCCAAAAAATAGAACCGCAAGTCATTTAGTTTAATTTAAAGTCATTTTTTAAATTAATTAATGTCAATAATTTTAAGTCATTTAGTTTAAATTTAAAACTGGTAGCTGATTCTGAAATCACACTTGTAAACGTGGGCCACCCTGTGTATATGACGTAAAGGACTACTCCCTGTTCATAAACCCCGCTTTTTCCACCCAACTATACATCAGACGGATGGAGCGTGCGCTTTATTCTACGAGGCAACGAAGACGTGAGAACAGTTCAGTTTAGGCAGCTACATACAGTGTGTTAGTTGTCATTAACATTGGGTCTTACAATATTGAGCAATGAGGAAATCGATTCAGGGCATGACAGATGCTTCACACGCCAGCGCTCGGATAGTAGCTGCAGTCATTTTTGAACTTGTCAATGGTAAAATAAGACAAGCTAGCACAGCCTTATTCCGCGTTGGATGACATCGCCAACTTGCTTTTCGGCTATGTTTACACCCTGGCCAGCCGTGGCCAGGGTGTAGTCGATCTCATGACGTCATCGGCGACGGATTCTCGTGACGTCATCCGATACCCACCATGGATGATGGAGCAACTCTCTGTTTTGGTATTTTTTTGACGCACTGTTTACTGCTTAATTAAAATTTTTGACGAGTACCTGGGCAAAATGAGCCACCCTAGCTTTTGCAGGACGACCAATGCTATTTAAAAACAGCACTATGTCAGTATGGTCAGAATGCAGTGGAGTTTCCCTCTAAGGGGTTTCACGGGTTTCGAAGACCTGCATTAACCTTAGTAAAAGCTAGGCAGAGAGGAAATAAAAAGAGGGCGATCATAGAGTTTCATACAATAATACCTAGAGAGAAATCTGGTGCTGTGATCGTGTACCTCCATGGGAATTATGGGAAGTACAGGCTTCGAATTGGATAGGGTTAGCTAGCAAATTATCTACAAACATTTTTCTACAGTTTCAGTTTCGTTCTTCGTGAAGTGGTGCGGGTAGTGGGGTGCCTTGAAAAAGGCTGAAGCAGTGCCTTTGTGGTTCGAAGAGGCTGACGACGACTAGATCTCTTGATTTTCTGCAGCATTGGAGCTTTATGAGTCGTATTTGACAGTTTAAACAAAGCGTTGTCCACTCACCGCTTGGCATAGAAGTAGCGTCTCCACCTGTGCAAGATATTGCCTCGAGTTCATGTTTTTCACGAGCGCGTCTTGCTTAAACACCTTTTAAATTGACTTCTAAGCGATGATGAAGCTAACCAAATGCACCATCATGCTCCGTTGTCTCGACTCCACAACAAAATCAGAGGTGCATTGGAGGCAGACCACTGGAACAGACGCACCTAGCATCGCAGAAGACGAAACAATAAGTGTTTCTCACTTGATACTGTACCGTTATTTCCATAACTATATAATACATACTTTCGAGAGAAAAACAAGCATGCTTGTTTTTCATGTGTCGAATAAAATAATTATTTAAATCTTGATGCCAAATCTAGAATGCCATAGCAGAGAGATGCATACCCTGATGGTTGAATTCGCCCAGGTTTGACTTTTGCCACCTGGTAACAAAAACTTTTTGCAATAGAGTTTGTGCACAAACAATTGAAGCAAGTTTCAATTAAATAAGTTCATATCACTTAGTTTTACACTCGGAAAAGAAGTGTCGCGAATCTCAAGAACGCAATCCATTCAAAGCGGATCCGAAGCCTGTTTTTCCCATAATTCCCATGGAGGTACAAGCACTGCTGAAGGAGTCCACGTAGACACTAGCGCCTGATTCCCCTCTAGGTATTATTGTAAGAAACTCTACAGGGGTGATAAACTACTTTATTTCGTCAGTGTGTGCCATGACCTTGACCACACTTTTCCTTTTCTTCAGAAACGTGCTCACTTTCAGCGTGACCGTGAATGTGCGCTTGGGCACATGGTGGCATCTTGTGGCGGCCACAGAAGCTATGCAGCACACAGTGCTCAAATCAGTCAACGACGGTGCCATCGTTTGGGTTTATGGCATTATTTGTTAAGAAGAGGCAACTATTTCTAGTTGACTTTAAGAATTAATTGTGAATTCCAGGCTGCTTGCTGTCAAAATATTTGGTTCACAAGTTCTCAAGAGCTTTGGCGGCTGTTCGGCAGCGTCAGCGAGGAGGTGTGATGTATGGTATAAATTTGAGCACAGGATAGATTGTGACTAATTGGAGTAATTTACGCAGTCCCAAAGGTTGCTTAAGGTGTTCTTGCATACCGCCCTATCACTGTATATACATAATGCTGAGTAGCACAATCCTACAGTCAGCTTAGAGCTATTTTGCTGTCTTTTTAACTTTTTCCATAAGAACTACCTTGAGCCAAGTCCGAATGCTGAATCCTGGCCAGTGCAGAGGGTTCTTCGTGAAGTCGCATGTGAGTGTCTAAAGCTTTCTTCTTGAAGAAGCCTACAAACAGAGCACCAAAAGCATTAGGGACCTGCACAAGTAGACGTATTAGAAACACAGTCCTTTCTCATAACAAAGGCTCGCTTTAACTTCTAACTCCTAGGGGCAATTGAATTCACGAAACATTTACAGACCCGTTCCTAATGAAATGTTTCATAGAGTACAAGAGAGCTGCATTTGTGAATATAAACTTACTGTCACACCCATAATTATGGTGAAATATTAAAAAAAAAAAAAAAACACTTGTTCATACTGGCATTTACCAAGAGGGGGAGGTGCGGATGTGTAGTAAATTCTGGACAGGCATAATTAATTCACTGTCATTTCCATTTCACTCACACTACAGAGCTAGATCAAGTAAACCGATGATGCAACACTAAGCTTGTGTGAATGGTAAATTTTAGGTTCCAAGCAAATAGTGATTTGACCCAATAATTTTGAATTTAATCCTCTTAGTGTATATTGCATATTTATTATGGCACAACCAACCTGCACAATATATATGTATGTATATACATATATATATATATATATATATATATATATATATATAGTTGAAGCAAGGCATGTGCAATTGTCATTTTTTACGGTTCAAAGGGAAGTGGGACCAACTTTGTGTAGCAGCAGCACTTTTGGTACAATGCAAGTAATGGCCCGTAAAATGAACTGAGCTTCAAAATTGACTATACTCTGAGCACTTTACTATACTCTGAGTATGACAAGCTTTGGAAGTAATGGAGTAGATGTGAGAGTAAAATGTCCATTTAACCTTGAAATGGAGCTTTGCAGCAAAGTAAATTTTCCTTAATAGCATCCCCTCGACTGCAGTGAAAACAGGGGGCTGCATGGAGTTTATGCCCCGTATGTTTCTGTGCAATACTTGCACCTTTGTATAAGACACACCCCTACGTTCTACGTCTCTCACGGAAAAAATAAAAGATATATAAGAGACACATTTGTAGAAAGCCCCCATTTCTGACTCTGCCAACATCAGAAAACACGATGCACGCAGAATACATTCATTGCAAAATGCAGTCACGCACGGCATTGAATATCTCTAAGCAGCAGAGTAAAACCTGTAAATAATGCTGTCCTGAGGCACAGAAAACAAATATTTATTCCATAGAATTCGAAGCCGCATCCTTGAGTGCACTGTCAGACGTTCTGCTTCGGTTGACATCGTGGGGTTGCTGTGGTCAACCTCTGACTAACTCTCTTACGCGGCGCTAAAAGCGATCAACATCATAGTTTGTCGAATAACGCGTTCGATGCTCTAACCACTCAGCTGCCACAGCGGCCTAACATCATAGTTTGTGTGATGATGGTGGCATCTATTGTTGCCATAATCTCTTTGGTAGCCGCGGAGCTTGAACAGCCAGCAGCTGACATCTAAGACCACACAGACATTGTTATAACCAAATTAGATGTGTTTTTTAATGCTCTCACGCTCAGTTTATCTTACTCGCAAATGAAACATCAAAATAGTGATCTCGTTGAATTGCATGACTGTTGGCGAATATAAGACGCGCACCGTTGTACAAGACACACCAGTGAAAATATCGGGAAGAAGGTGCATTTTATACACCGAAAAATATGGTATGTCTGTTAATTAATTCATTTTGAATGCTTCGGAATTTGGATACTTAAAATTTGTTTAGAAGCAAATTTCGCTTCTGTAATATTTGTTTGAATATCCCGAGAGGTATAATATTTACACATGCCTATGCAACACAAATTTAATAAAGCAGCATCAAACATTGCTGAAAAATTTGTATGATCGGCAATACTGCACGACACACTTACCTCTTCCACAGGTCAGGCACCTGAAGTCTGTGTCGCCACGATGCATACGTAAGTGATTGTAGAGCCCCACTTTTGTGGCCAGCTTGCGGTTGCAGCCCTGCCAAGGGCAGGGTGTCGGTGGCCTGCAAACAAGGGAGAAAGCACTCAATCGCGATGACAATGGCACTTGAGTGGGTAAGAATGGCAGACTGGGCTTGTTGGTCCAACATACTTGAAGTTTAAGGCACAAATACAACACGGACGAAGAGAGACAATACAGTCGCCGACCGATTTTTTGGACCTGGCGGGGACCGAAAAAAAGTACGAAAAATCGAACAGTCCGAAAAATTCGTTTTTGCCAAAAATCTGAAGTTTATTGCATCAGACAGGTTTAAAAAAGTCCTTGATGCTGCCTTGCCTCAAACTACGCTTGGAGGCAATTTGGTTTGCCCGTATTTGCGCCAAGGTGACATCGTCGCCGTAAACGCTCGACAAAATTGTCACCGCGTTCGCGATCTCCGCCGCCGACGGCTGCGGGCGGTCGTCGTTGTCATCCGAGCCGCTCTCCGGCTCCGGGACAACCTGGCGAAGAATTTCGTCGTCAGTGGCCTCCGTGCACGAAACAATGTCGTCGTCCGCACAAGTGAAGTCTTTAAATGTCATTGTGGCAGGTAGAGAATCCTTCTTTCGCCTCCTCCCCATGCGATGTGATGACGATAGTGCTGACCGAGGACGAAAAAACGGCATCCATCACCGCGTCTTTTAAAAAGCGAACACGGCCTCCGAAACTTAAAATATGGCGTGCGCATTCCAATCTCGGAGGCAGGAAAGGCATCTGAAGACCAAGCTTAGCCAAGCCGACGGAAAATCCAACATGGCGGCGTTCACGATGGCTTGGAACGTGGCACAAAACAAAAGATTTAGTCCGAAAAATCGAACTTTCAGGGGCAAATTCGCCCGAAAAATCGGTCGAAACAATGCATTAGCTCTATGGGATCCCTGACGGTGCATTTATGAAGTCCGGAATATCCAACAAGTCCGAATTTTTGGAGTCTGGAAAATCGGTCGGCGACTGTACACACACATGGAGCACCACTTGCAACAAATATTTATTTCGGAACAATGGTCTTTCGAAAAAATTTTTGTTGGAAGTGGTGCTCCGTGTGTATGTGTGTATTGCCTCTTTTCGTTCGAATTTTCACAGTACTGGTGCATTCCCAATGCACCAGTACTCTGAAAATTCCTTACGCACTTTAGTGAGTGTAGGTCTGCAGAAACAATCTCTTGCCACAAGTTTTCGATTTCTAAAGCTCTAAAGCATTCCCCCGTTCAGCACTCCACCAGAAAACAACGAAGTGAATGACAGTGCTGCCTGTGGAATTAAGAGACCACCAGCACTTCTGTGACAATTAATGAGTTCCTGGATGCGTATTTTGTAGCAGGGTGCCCTCAACGCATAATCAAATGAACTGGAGGACAGGCGTGTTTCAAAGTCAACTCCTGTTTAAAAAGATAATGAAGCGTATTGTCTTCTTTGCATAAAAAGCAGCGTTAACTTTAGAGCTCGGAGAATACTTGAGTGAATATTTTGGTATTAGAGTTTGCTTTGATGTCAATTTAAAATTTCCAAAACTTCATAGTATTCGCCATGACCAAATTAAAAGTGTTTCACCACACATACTCCCTTCCTCCCCCCTTGAAAAGATGGTTTCGCAGCAGCATGGTGACGCTATGTCGTAAAAAGTACTGTCCGGAAAAAAAAATCCGCACTGCCACAAAACCACACTTCACGGTGAAATGTAAATATAGCTGACACTCCACTTTATCTTTTCATTTGAAGTTTTAAAAACGTGCTATAAAAACTTAAATTCATTATGCCTAGCAAAATTCATAATGTTACACATTTTACCACTTGTAATTTGTACCCTGCTACAACTCAAATCCTGGCATTATTTAAGTATGCTTAGACCTTGCTTTAAAGAAAAGTAATCTTTGCATAAACAAAATTCAAATTCTTAAAAATATTGTGCATGTTAGTTGTATCGTAATAAAAGTAACTTTTTTTTATAATGTGTGGTATATACTATTTGAACTATAGTACATGACAATGGACAATGTTTGAACAAATCACGACTCACTTCGAATTCGCCTTGAACCTGAATTCGCTATTGACCCATCCCTATTTTACTCGAGACCTCTTTGCGTGACCGCAAGGCTAAATTGCCATGATATGTAAGAACAGATGGGGAAGGGGGGGAATCCAAACATGCATGTCAGCACTTACGCGTGAACTTCCATATGAGCCATGAGCTGCTCTCTTTGAAGAAAGCGGCGGTGGCACTTGTGGCATTCGTGCACAATGCTGTGCAAGGACAAGTGGCTCCAAAGGGCCTGGGAGTTGGCCATCTTCGAGCCGCATATCTGGAATCAATGGACACACATAAGCAATCTGATGCCAGCTTCTAAATGACACTCATCTGCAGTGGCGACCATCGGTACTAAGCAATGAACGATGAAACAGACAGAGGCATCAAGGTTTTATCATACGATTCAGCCTTTCACGTGGAAATTATGCATCTTCCACCATTAAGAAATGCTAGTTCAGTAAAAAAAAAAGCCATCCTCCGCATTCCTAGATGGATGGTTCCTAACTTAACAATAAGGTGAAATGTTTGTCTAAATTACAAGCTTGCCATTGTTTCTCTAGATTACATCATCCCACGTGTATCACTTCAGCAGGTAATGACCATGTCAAACTTGTAATGTACACTTGTCCTGAACGAGTACAGTCACTAGCGTGGGCCTGGTCTTAGCGAGCCGCAGGACACACATTAACCGTCACCGTGGCGAGAACACGGTACAGCTCAAGGTCGCAACACTTTATTGCCTACAGCAACACCAAAAACGCAGTGCAGAGCCCATTGCAACAGGGCCGGCAGGAAAGCAAATGGGCTTATCTACGCCACGGGCAAGAAGTACTACACAGGGTGCCGCGAGCACGTCTTCGTGGGGAAAAGTGATTCACGGGGACATCGAGACAAAGGGCCCGGTTGCTTGAGCGAGAGCAAACTTTGCTCGCGTTGGCTTCCGAGAGGTATGGGTTGGCGTAGTATTGCCACGCACTAGGACACCGCACTGCTATTCGGCCTAGCATACAAAAGGAGGGGCGACAAAAGGTAAACGTTCGTCGCGGGCGCAAGGCGCTGTTGGCGAAGTCCGAATGAGCCCCAAACAAAGGGAGCCGACGAATGGAAAAGAAATGTGTGTTTACCCCATGTCGTCCCGGAGAGGTTCTCTCTCACTCACGAAGCGTGTGCGCAAAACGTCTTGAGAGACTCCGCGCGCGGCGCCACAGTCGACATTCGCTACCGAGTGAGAGGGGTTAAACGTCACTCCCCGCTCCCCTGTGTGGCAGACCGCGGAGGAGGGGAGTCATGTCAAGACATGAGAATGCAGAAAGACGCGGCAAAGCCCGCGCAAAGGCGGCAAGCTAGCCTCGATTCCCACAAGCCGGTCCGGCAAAATGAATGCCGTATTTACTCGCAGATTCTTCGCACTTTTTTTTGACGGAAAATCGATGCGAAGTTGAGGGGTGCGAGAATTATGCGAGCAAAACTTTCCACGAAAATGTAAAAAGCGAAAAAAGAAAATGAAGTGACCGCAAATCAGGATTCTCACGCCAGCAACTAACTGCAAGCTTTGAGAAGTACTAATTAAAACTTACCTCAGCAATAAAACCACAGGTTCAACACAAGACAAGATTTATTTGAGTACCCAAAAGGCGCAAGAAAATACCCAAATCTTGTGGACGTAGCGTCAGCGTTTGTTACTCAACAGGGGTCAGCAAAAGGTTAACGTACGACATCAGCATTGGGCTGATGGCCATTTAACACAGAATCATCCACAGCTGCATTCTGACGAAATAAAATTTACCATCCATCTCAGTCTTAAGCACACGGAAAGCCCAATGCATCATGGTGACTTTTACCTGCTGTCCCCAGTAGCAAACACAAATCTCGCCAACTCTGAAAGGCCTACCCGGCTGTCATGTTGCCGTTGCTTAGTGAATGATCAATTACTTTCAACTTGAAAGCAGCCGTGTAGCTTCTTTATCGCCCCATAGCGTAACAACATTACGGACACAATGTATGATCACCCGCAACGAGCTCTTGCCACTTTGGCTTAGCTTGGATTGAATTGAGGCTCCGTGCAATGACAGTACGCTTGACACTTAAGAAATGGTGCCAGATGGCGTGCTCTATCATCATCAGTGGCTGAGACGAGCAGAAAACATTATTGCGGCAATTTTCGGGGGTGCCATAATTACTCGTGGTAAAACAGAAATCATATTTTTGTTGGGTGATGTGGGGGGTACGAGAATCATGTGAGTGCGAGGATGACGTAAGTAATTATGGTATCGCTGATAATGGTCATAAAGTGGCCAAAACCGGGTGGATATAAAAACAGAGCAAAAAGCTCGCGCAGCAACTCGCGGAAATGGTAATAACTAGTTGCAGAAGAACCGTGCTCATGGGGCATAGAACACAGTACACACCGTAGGTACACTGAATACATTGAATTTATTTTTTCTTTCTGAAAGACATCCAGTGATAAATGTTAAAAAGAAGCATACAGAAAAGACACGACGAAACAGGTGCCGTTCCTGTCATGTCTTTCTGAGTGCTTCTGCTCAAAGTTTAGCACTAGATATGTTTCAAAAAGGAAAAGGTGCTTCATATGTTTCATTAACCCAACATTGAACTTACTAGGTCCCCTTACGAGAGGTGAGCCTGCCAGCTGAATCTTACAAAAATAGCTGCAGTAGCAAGACAAGTAACTCAATAGCACATAAAATGTCAAGGCAAAACAACATAAAACATACAATGTATCGCGAATGCAATGTCACCGACGGTTGACTTACCACAGGAGTCCATGACACAGAGACATGGAAATGTCTCCGTGAACCTCCCATGAGAGACTACCAAGAGCATGATTACTGTTCCCCATACAGGGGTGCAACCACCAAAATAGAATTTGGAGCAAGCAATATGTTACTTTTGGAGCATTAAAATCCAAATTTGGAGCAGGTTATGGGGAAAAAAATTTTTTTTATCATGAAAGGCCAAATTTGGAGCAGTATAAAAAGAAAGCTTACATCTAGAACAAAAGAAAGGTACAAAACATTCAATCTACCTAAACCGTACAGAGTTAACATGAGCACTGCTAGTTCAACAAAAGTAGTATTTGTACTAGTATTCTGAATTACCTCACTGAGCAAATAATGAAGTCCACAGAAGCATTTGTTGCACCTTTCAAATTTTCTGACACTCTCTAAATTCAAATTTGGCTCTACCAAGCTGGCAGCCTTGATATTCAGGAGTTTTGTAACACCAAGAAGTAGGGGTGGCACAAAAAAAAGAAGGAAGAAAACCCTGGCGCACAGGTTTATTTTTTAAGGTAGTAGAAATGTGATTTGCTGCTCCAAATGATTGCAAGCAACAACTTCTTTAGACGTCAGCGATCATACTAGTACTAAAAATTATGCGGCACATACACACGAGTAATGAACAAAATTTGTTGTGTCACGTGACTAGTGCTACAACCCCTTAGAAATTATAGTACAATTTTTCGCAGGACACCGGTGTACCACGGCGAAGCTAGCTTAAGGGGGAGGAGGCTACCATGGATGGGAAACTTGTTTGTTTGTAAAGATATCCTAATGAAACTTTCAGGGTAGGCTAATAATAAAGCCACAAAACTTTATACCACAATAACCACAAACTTTATACATTCAAGTTCACTGGTTCCAAAGTTACAGCCATTTATCAGGATAGTCCACACAGGTTTCTTAGTGATGATTCCTGGATAGGTGCTTTACACTAGGACAGAGCCCTTTCTTTTTAATTTCCTTGCTGAAAATTATTAGCAGAGCAATGAACTTGGTGTTTGCCATTGAGCATTTATAAATGAAATTTTAATTAAAATTGGCTCTGTCAGTGTGTGTGCTATTTAATAGGGTACATAAAAAAGGATATCTAATAGAAATCAGATGAGCAATTGCAGAGATATCACTAGATTAAACAAAACAGCCTCACTGGCCAAAAAAGTTATTCTGAGAAAACGGACTTCGAAAGCTCCGCACACATATTTTGGTCTAAAATGACCCTGCGAAATAGCTAAAAATGTTCTTTAGGACTTTTTTTTTTTTTATCCCGCTTTTCCTGCTTATGTTGCAGCTGTCCTTGAGTCTTTTTTCACACAGGAAAGGGACTTTCTCCACTGCCCGTTGGTTGTCGGCATAGCGCCGTCAGTTGCCAACATAGTGCCGAGCTTTGGTTGCACAGCAACACGTTCGCTATCCTCCTCGGTTAACTCTTTGCACGTCCAAAAACATGTTGGCAAATGCACAGTCGACGACGCGGTCGCACTGTTCGGGGCCGCAATCACTGCAGTTAGCGAGCGCAACACACCAGCCACACTTGAGCACGAAATATCAACACCAGCCTCACTTTTGACGACAGAGCATTGCGCCGATTCTCGTTGTCGTGATAAGCATCAATGCAGTTGTCGTCTTGAAGAGACGAAGGACAAGCTTCTCAGCATCAATGCGACTGTTGCCCACGCGTTGGCGTGTGAACGAGCCTTACCATGCTGTACGAGCGCCATCGGACACTTTCTTGAACAGAACGCGTTCCGAGTCCCGAACTTTGCCCTGCCCATCGTTAGTAACAGAAAAACAATCAGTGTCCCGTCAACACGGCGAAAGATCATCTCATAAAGACAGTGAAAGATTGAAGAGCACGCATAAGAATCGAGCAGAATGATAGCAAACGGGAAAACAACGCACGCCAAAAGAACAGCGGCGCTTGCAAGACCGGCAGCCGGAGCAGAAGGCGAGCCGGGGAGAACATGCTGAATAATTCAGTATCGTGCGCAGCCGCCATTAGGAGCTGCGTGATCACCCTCTCCCTCGAGAGGCGCGCGCTTCCTCCAATCGCGGCTTCGCATCCGAGACGTGGGAGAGTTTAAAACTTCGAGAGCCCCCCTATCATGAGCGATACCTGTGCGGCCACGCCGCTGCTGCTGCTGCAGGTGGCGAAAAAGAAAAACAAAAAAACTCCAAGACTGCACGAGCAAAACAAGACCAAGGTAGCGGCGCTGGGCCACATGGTTGGGATATTGCAAACGCGCGAAGTTGGGGTATTTTCAGCGCTCGCTGGCCACTGGCCGGCGGCCGCGGCATGTTATACAGTTCATTCGACATACTTTTGTGACAAATTAGGCATTGATATTTACAGAACAGAGAGTTTATAAGACATACTACCAGAATATGTGGGTTTTAAAAAATCTACTTTTTCACGATTTTTCTGTTTTCAAAGGGCGCGTCCCCTCTTAAGCAGCGATCTGCGTGGGTTTGAACAAAGACAAGTGACTTTTGAACCACTACATCCGCCCCCACTCTGTTTCATTTTTTTTTCTTTCCCTGCGGAGTTCAGTTTGAAGCACAACTGCTGAGGTCGCTTACAAGGCGGGTTGGACCAGATAAATTAGCAATGAAACGCGCCCTCTGGCCAAGCGTCAGCGCCGTCAAGCCAGGAAAATGATTTATGTGTTGTTGCTATAGCAACCAACGTGGTGGCTGGCAAAAACAGCGTTCGCAGCACGTCGCCCTTGTTCGGGCGCGGAACGGAAAAAGTGGCATACATTCCCAACATGCCATGACCACGTTCGCTGACAAGAAAATTCAGAATTTTTGTGAAACGTTGGTGGCTATGATAGCGCACTTTTTTTTGGCTTGAAGTTCTGTCACCCGCTGATAGGTATCCGCTGTGGTCAGCAGACAGATCGGCGTGCATCTTTATCTGGTCGATCCCGTCTCATGGGTGTCCCCACCTAACCAGTATATAACTTATATTGTGGTTTAGGGTTAAAGTCTGCGCGCTTGGTTTGATGATGCAGAATGCAGGTGGTCAATGTGGCCCCTATTTCTCAATGAAATTAGCTCAACTGAGAAAATTTTGACGCTGGTCAGGCATTTTGGTGCAACGTGGCACAATTTTAGCAAATTTTATGATTTTGGCACAGCTGGGTACAACAACGGGGAATTCTATCAAATCAGCGCAGCTGTTGCAACCTGCTGTGCAACCACCTAAGGTTGCAGACAGAATGGCACTACCACGAGAGCAGCACTATCCCTCGCACAGAGGTGAGTATGCTAAGCTGACCTGCCAGACGTACATGTGCCTTAAGGTGAAAACGACTATACCGGGGCTGACAGCACTGTCACAAATAAAGCTTATGGCACAATGTAAGAGCGCAGTGGCAGCTTCGTTTAGCAAAAGCTGACAGCTTCGTTTACCAAGTTTACCGGCGGCGAACAACTGCGGCACCAAAATTGACCCTTGTGTGTTCTCATAACAGCTTTTGCTGAAAAAGGGACACACCTCGCAGATGTTGGCAAGTTCTGGGTGTACACTCTGGATGTGGTTACGACGAGGCCCGGGCTGGACGAAGAGCAGGCCACAGTGCTGGCACTGGTACTGGTGGCTCTCGGTCTCCATGTGTTTCACAAAAGTGGCAAACAGGCCAAACCAGCTGTGACACACTCGGCACCGGTAGTTACGTGGCTCCGAGCGGTTGTACTTCTCCTGAACATCGTACAGAGCGATTCAGAGTGAATTGATACAGAAAAAGGAAGCATTACACAGCACTGCCTTACTGTACACAGCTTTAAAGTCTGCACATTAAGCATGAAATGGCCTCTGTAAAACATTCAGCTCATTAGTACAAAACTGGTCTCTCATCTTGGGGAAGGCAAGCTGAGGCAACATGGTGGCTACAGCTAATCAGAGGCTTCGAAGCGACCTTCAAACATTTGCCTTTTTTGTGCTCGTTTTTAAAGGAAGGAGGCAGCTGAGGCAGAAAATTAGAACAAGGACAAATGTTCTTTTCTATGAGCCCAAAAAGCAGGCTGCCATGTTTTTTCGTGATTTCCAGAAATATTTTCGCTACTTAGGAGGGTGAAACAAATTTTCCGAAGCACTTCTGTGCGGTTTTAAGTGAAGATATTTTGAAATAGAATGGAAAAAGGGTTCCAGGAACTGAAAGGTTGATCTAAAAAATCGATTTTTTTTTGCCATTTTTTCCTATACGAAAGCCGCTGTCCCCTCTGAAAGTATGACAAACTATAAAGTTTAAACATCGATTGCACTCAATCTGACTCAATCACACAACACGATACTTGTTGATGGTTTGTTTTTCATTTTAATACATGTAAGGCCTAACCAAAAGTCCTTCAGACAATTTTAAGCATGGGACCTCCCTCTGTACTGTGGTTAGCAACAATGGTTAGCAACAAGACTTCTGTTAACGACATTACTATCCTTTGCTTTAATATGCCTCACCTGCACTCGCATGTACTTGTTGGCATGCTCGGCACTGAGGAAATGGTCCTGAAGGTGATCATTGTCATCAAAGACCATGTCGCACATGGAGCAGTAGCTGTCAGACTTTTGGTTGTGGCGCAGTGAATGGCGCTGGAATGCATTGGGGCACGTGAAAGTCTGGCTGCAGGCCGTCACAATGCACTGAAAGCGTTTCTCGAGGCGGTGCAGGTTGTGCATGTGCAGGTAGTACAGGGCATAACTCTTGATCACAGCATCACACACGTGGCAGTAGTGGCCCACCTGCACAGCGATGAAACAAACACCAGCGTTCAAATTGATATGTTGATAGAGGGTGGAGAAAGCCTCCAGTCTAACGAGCCACCCTCACCCACAGGTCTAACGAGCCACCCTCACCCACAGGTGGTGTGCTCCACTATGAAACTCCTTGCGTTTTAAGCCAACTAAGGTCACCAGAATTTAATTAAATACTTTGCCAACCTGCAGAATACTGTATTTATAAAAAAATCAAACAAGGCCTGTGCAAATCCCCATTTTTTTGTTAGAAGGAAGTGTGAACAACTCTGAATTTGACTTTCGTTAGAATGTAAGTGATACATATTAATGAGGTTTCTCTGTATGTGGTGTCTCAGACAAGCAGAGTACCACGACCTGATTTTCGGATGGAGCCTTATTTTGATGTAGGCAAAGTGGTGTCTCTTGTACACAATTGTTTCTTGAACTAATTTTTCTCATAAAAAGGTTTAACTGTATTTCGTGGCGCAAACACATCTACTGCAAGCCTCGCTAGCTTCCACAGCCAGCGAAACTTGCATTGATTAGAGAAAATGTATACGAGGCACCTTGCTCATAAAAGAACCCTCACATCAAAGGCAAGGATTGCTCCTCGTTGTACGTCTCTTACAGAGGGGTTCAACTGAATGGTAGTATTGTATTTACTCATGTAATCCTCGCACTCGCATATTTCTCGCACCCCCTATATTGCCCAACAAAAATACGATTTCTTTTTTTCCTCGAGTAATTATTCGCACCCCTGATAACTGCCGCAATAATGTCCGTCTGCCCGTTATAGCCACTGATGATGATAGCGAGCAGTCATCTGGCGCCATCTCTTAAGCATCAAGCGTACTATTACTGCACGAAGATTCAATTCCAATCCAAGCCAAGCCAAAGTGGCAAGTGCACAATACGGCGTGTTTTGTATGTTGTGTTGGTAATCTTGTCACGTTATGGGGCGATATAGAATCTGCACGGCTGCTTTCAAGTTGAAAGTGATAGATCATGCGCTAAACAACGGCAACAGGGCCACTGGTAGGCCCTTCAGAGTCTACAAGTTTTGTGTTCGCTACTGGTGACGGCAGCTGAAAGCCACCAAGACGCGTTGGGCCTGCCGTGTGCCTAAAACTGGGATTGATCGTAAACTTTATTTCTTCAGAAAGAAACTGCGGACGATTCTGTTAAATAGCCATCAGCCGAATACTGACGTCCTATGCTTACCTTTTGAGGGTTCCTGTTGAGTTGAGTGACGAATGCTACGGCTACGCCCGCAACACCCACAAGCTTTGCGTATAATATTCTAATTCTCGGCTATTTGCTTGCACTTTTAGTGTCTCAAATAAATCTTGCCGTGCGTTGAAATGTTAAGGTAAGTTTTAATCAGTTCTTCTCAAAGCTTGCTGTTAGTTGCTGATGTGAGAATCCCGATTTGCGGCCACTTTAGTTTTTTTTTGCTCTGTACAATTACGTAGAAAGCTTTCCCCGCGTAATTCTCGCACCCCCTAACTTTGCATCGGTTTTCCGCCAAAAAAGTGCGAGGATTATGCGAGTAAATATGGTAGTCTTTTGTATAAACCTTGACAAATGTGCATCTTCCCCTGCTGAGCCATGAAGAGGCCTACAGTATTGGTAAATGAGGATGAATGAATAATAGAACCTTGGTGGGAAAGCCCAACTCCAGGAGTTTGGCATCTGATGGGATGTCGGCCGAGCTGAGGGTGCCACTTGCGGCACTGCCTTTTCCATCTTCTGCCCCCGCTTCCTCTGGGCTCTTCGAGGACGCCTCGGCCTGCAGGGTGCCTTCGCTACCAGAGGCCTCCTGAGTGGTCGCCATCGCGTCGTCCTCGGAGCCAGGCTGTTGCGTAATACTTTCCACTGCTCGCTGCTGAGTCAGCTCTGTCTCGCTGTTGTTCTCTACCATGGGCATACTGTACAGGTTGCCTGCGAGAAACACGACATGCCCTTCAGCAAAAAGCCAGAGAAAAAATTTAATGCAATAGCCAAGCTCCTTCAATGAGCTCATGCTGCAGCAAATACACACAAGCTCTGGTAAGCTTACCCTCCAAATCATCGGAGCACAAAGAAGATTTTCCTGACATCCAAGCAAAACGGGCCAGTAATGATTTCTTTGTGCATTAGCTTTTACTATGAATGTGGGTCAATGATCAACCATGTAGCATAAAGAAGCTGACTGGCTGGTTGGTTTATGAAGTTTACGATCCTAAATGACTCTGGCTATGAGAGATGCCATAGAGGAGGTCTGTGAATATTCCCAGGGTTCTTTTATGTGCACAGAAATTGCAGACTGCGTGGCCTTCTAGGTGAATTTTGCCCCCAGCGAAATTAGACCACCATTGCTGGAACCAAACCTGTGTCCTTTGGAACAGTGGCCGAGCACTGTAGCCACTAGGCCGCTATGGTAGCAGACACTGCTGCTAAAGCATCACAATACAAATTTGGCACTTCACATGATGCAAAACAGCGATAATCAGACTGAAAATTTGCTTTACCACTTTAAATGACATAGCCATCATGTTATGTTCTTCACTACCACTCTGAAAAACTTGACTTTATAGCAAACAGTTTTTGCATAAACTATAAAAAATGATGCAGTGTCTGTCACAAAGAATGGCAGCAATTTTAGTATTTTGATTCTGCACCCCGTATACCTCGCAGTAAACGAAACTCCCATTAAATGAAACACACTTTCCTGATCCATTCAGGTTTTATTTAACAGGAGTCTACTGTACGTTCGAACAAACCCTACGCCAGTGGCTGTACTCAATTTGATGCTTGTTCTGAATTATGTATACTGAAAAAGTACGCAGTTAGTAAACAATTTTTTGAATGTCTTAGAAATTTGTTGCCATATTGTAGCTATAGGCTTGGTGGGCATGTGATTAAAAAAGGGGCATGTTGCAATATTTCTGCATTTATTTTCCCTACTTAAGATCTACTACCTCCAAACAAGGGCATTTTATGAAGACTTTCTTCATAAAGAGATTTCTCTTGAGTAACTCTCAACGACAACACACTTTGATGAGCCAAATTGACCATATTCTAACATTGCCACAGTTTTGTAGTGCCCTTCAAACACATTCAAACCTCGATATATTGAACGCAGAACAAATTATTGGTTATAACAAAGTAAATTAAGAACAGCTGTGTTATACATACAGCGATTCAAATAAATGATAGCCGTGTAATACATACAGTGATTCAAATAAATGTTTATAACAAATTTTCGGATTTATAACTAAGTATTTTCACAGCAGGTGTGACTTTCTTATAACGAGGTTTGAGTTTTGTGCTCGATTGACGAGACTGCAAGCGCATTACACTCACTCTGGACATCTTCGCTGGAGAAGTCTGGCAGTCCGCGCTTGACCCATCGCATGTGCACATGGTGCTGGTGCATCTGGCAGGCCTGGGTGCTGGCAAAGCGCATGCAGCACAGGAAGCACGTGCTCGACGAGCCGGCCAGGCCGTCGTCCTCACTGCTGCCAGCCTCCAGACCACCAGGCGACTCCAGGGGAGCAGTAGCTTCGCCCACGCCGCTAGAAGTGCCTTCTTCCGAGGCTCCTGGCACTGCAGACGGACTAGCTGTAGCAAGCTGGCCCTTGGGCAAGTGCACCCCATCTGCCATGTGCTTCTGCAAGACGTGCCAATCAGAAGGGAATGACACCTTGACCCCTGATGCACACGATCTAAGAAGCAGATAAATTGCCAAAAAATCAACTTTCTAAAGATTTATTTCCCATATTCTAGGCCAAAAAAGGCTGTTTCTCAACTATTACAGACGTACATGTCGAGTTATTTGGCCTTAAAGTGAGTTGCATGACCATTTTAGCTCACCAAAGCACATCAAAAGGCATATTCAACAGCAAACATGGCAGGAACTAGCATTGCCATATTGGTCTCACTTGAAAGACACACTCTTCCAGTGGGTGTCCCTAGCAGAAAAATTATTTTCACTTGGCAAAGATAAAGCCATCACATATGAGAAGAAAAAGAAAGTATTCGCATAGCGCTGTTGTATTTAAGTCACATGTGGTAAATACTCCCTTTGCTATTGTATCAGCCGGGTTCAATGCCATAGTTTTTTTCACATGGAACTTGTCAAAACAAGCACATACTACTCACGTTATAGAAATATACTGACATGCATGAAGGCCAGGAACAAATTATGTTTTAATCTGGAGCGGAATTTGCTGTCAAAATGCTGGACACTGCATTCACGGCAGCGTGACATGCAGAAAAAAATCACAACATATCCACGGAGTGATTGATGATGAGTGGGGTGAAGCGTCCGCTAGCCCGTGCGTGCTTCCGCCCGTTCGCGCAACCATCCTGCGTCAATCTATGCGTCCGTTTGTCTGTCTGTCCGTGCATCCGTCTGTAAGTCCACGCGTCCATCCATCCGTGTGCTCCGTTCGTGCATCCATCTAGTGAACACTCCAAGTACTGCCATCTCCCATCTCGCAACCCCTGTGGCACATACCGCTCGTATGTGCCAACGTACATACATACATATATACATACACAGACCCACACCATAAGGAGCTTCGCCCCTAAAAAAGAATTCTAGAGCTGTGTGATGAGGTGAAGCATACTGAAAATCCGAAAGGGTAACTCTTGAGGGGATTTAGGCTGGCCCATCGAAATCGTGCTTTTTTTATCCCTGCCTATTTCTGCCGTCCCCATAACCTAACATGCCTCTCTCCTTCTCAGCAGTCCGTCGGCGCTGGGAGAGCAGGAGTGACGTTGACCTCTTTCACCTGGCACTGGATCGTACTGGATCTTGACTGTGGCACTGCCTCGCGAGACGTTTCGCGTGCGCACCCGGCGGAAGTGAGTGAAACTCTCAGGACAACTAAGGGTGAGTAGGCCTTTTCTTTCCCATCTGTCGGCTCCTTTGTTTGTTCTTGAAGTTCGTCCGGATGAGTTCGCCAACGGTGCCTTGCACCTGCGGGAAATGCTTACCTTTCGCTTCCCCTTCTAAACGCTAAGCTGAAAAGCAGTGTGGTGTGTTCGTGCGTGGTCGTACTACGCTGATTAATACCCCTCGAAGCCGATGCGAAGAGAATTTGCCATAGCTCGAGCGATCGGGCCCTGTGGTGACTGATCATGAGAGTAAGCAGTAAAGGCACGAGGGACTGTTTTCCTCAGTGATGTGTCGCTGTGAGCCCCTTTTAGCCTGCGGGGACGTGCTCGCGGCACATGTGTGTTGTATGTTCGCCCGTGGCATGGATAAGCCTCTTTTGCTTTCTCGCCCCCTTTTGCAGCGGGTGCTGTACTGCATTTTTCATGTTGCCACAGGCAATAAACAGTTGCGAATCGTTGCAGAGCAGTACTGTGTGCTTGCCGCGCTGCGCTCGGCGCCTTGGCAGTCTGAACGCGCGTGTTGAGCGACGTTAGTGCCGTGAGGCAACAGTGAACGCGACCCCATGGCTTGCTAAGGCCGAACTCATGCTAGTGGTTGCACTCCTACGGGATACGGGAACACTACACTGGTGCGCAACGCTCTTCGCGAGTCAGTTCCCCTGTTCCATATGGGCTCGCCGCAACATGTCTGCTTGACAGAATTTTTGTCCGCTGAATGGGCTAACCTCAATCCCCACAACTTTTAAACAGACGTTGACTGTATTTTGTTTTTGAAAAAGTTTGACCATAGTGGAGCCTGAAAAACGGCTTTGCCAAAATATGAAAATGTGATGAGGTGAAGCATATTACAGGTCTGAAGAGGTACCCTTTAATCGAACGTTGACTGCATTTGTTTTTGAGAAATTCAAATGGTGAAAATTCCAACGTGAATCGAATGGGAAACAATATTAGAAAAATATTAGAAATTTCGAATATTCGCACACCCATAAAGAACTGTGATTATGTCAGGTATAAGCAATAAGGCTATGTATGATTACACTGTTTATTATAAAAAATAAGCAAGGGCACTGCACACATTTCTTCCAGCTTTGCTGGAATGTAGCAGCCACAGCAAACACTGAAATGCAGTGAGACACATTCATGACATGAAGCATTATGGAGACATTAAGTTACCACGACCACAAATGGTTCAAAGAAACATGAAATAAATTTTCTGTAATAAGGTGCTGTAATACTTGCAAACACATTTTCTAGTCTCTAGAAAATATCTGTTCAGCATTCATAAAAGAAAGGCCTAATCATTCGTCATTCTAATTGCGAGTAGCGCAAACAAAAATGACTTGCATCAGTACTTCACGGTACTCGTCTACTTCTGTGTTCACGTATTGCGGTTCGCTGCGTTAAAGTGGTCCCTGCAACACTTTTCCAAATACAGTGAAATTTTAGTATAATGAACTGCAGGGGGCCGTGGCAATTTGCTCGTTATTTTGAAAGGTTGTTATAGTGAAAACACAAAAATTTACTATAAAAACTTAATTTCCACCGACCGAAACGGCTTACCTTTACAACGGCAGGGTCCTTGAACTCGTTTTTCACGAGAAAGAACAAATGCACAAGTGAACACCAAAAAATTCACGTTTACTTTAAAGAAGTCTGTTATTATTTTTATTTTTTTTACATGTGCAGCACGAACTTTGCAGTGCGAAGGCCTCCAGCTCATCCGCATTCCTGTTGTGTGATTCGGTTCTTAGGTCACAACAGCCTGCTTTTTGCCTTCCAGCTGCCGAAGAATGTCTACTTTTTCGCTTAGCAAAAACTGCTTTCGCTTCTTCGTCGCAAACAGAGACGCAGTAGCACCGCAGCGCGAACGCCGACTTGCTTTGCAGATGCGATAAGTAATCACCCAAAAGACATGGACATGACTGACAAACAAGGCCTCCTAGAGCACATGTAGAAGTGACAAAGAAAGAAAAACCAGAAGCGTTGCAGCTATCATCGCCTCTTCCAAAGAAAAAAAAAAGTGCTAAAAAAGAAAATCCCTTGCTTTTCGTTTTCTGCTCCCTTGCTGTTTCAGGTTTTTCGCACCCATGCTTCCTGCTCTGCAACTCCCACTCTGCCTCGCTGACCTTGCCCTCCCTTGTTGCCCTCGCCCCTGCGCTTGTAAACCTGCAGCGTCGACGTTTCAACAAAAAAGTCGCCCTTTAGTTTTTTTCCCCCCTCTGCACCGTCGTGTGTCTTTTGAGAAGCAAGGAGTCCATTCGCTTTTTCCTCTGCTTGTGTACCGCTCCGGTGGTCACGAGAGATTTCAAAACATGAGTTCGTAGTACTAAGGCGTTGTTAATACAACAGGGAACTAAATTAACGCTCGTTATTACTGAAGTACATAGTAGTGAAATAATTTTACATTGAATCTATTAGCAGTCGGCGCAGGATTTTTCAAGTTTGTTAATCTGAAAAGTTTGTTGATGTGGGGTTCGTTCTGAGATTTCAGTGTAGCTAAGGAATAGATTACTAAAAGAACTTATTGCCTCACAAATTTACCGCCTAAAAATTTTTAGAATCCGTCAGTACAAGTGGAGTTACTAAATTTGTCCCAAGCTGCGATTGCTTTCTTTCTTCTCTCGTCTCAAAGTGAGTGCTGGAAGCTAAGGGGGAATGAATGACAGAGAAAGATGGTACGTCATGTGGGACCTCACGACCTTGAGCATTTCAGCTTTTTTTTTTTTTTTCAGACGGCTACTTTTCAGGGCGATCGCGAAAACATAGGTACGTCGCGGTGACCCTTGTAACTCCCGAGTATACCATGTTCAAACAGCCAAAGGCATAATATTTAGGCATATGACACAATAATTTTTAAGTATATAGCATAATTTACTAAGAGAAAAGAATGTGATTTTTAGCCAACTTTGAGAATTTATTGTAAATTCCAGATCGTGTTCTATGCTATGACATTCGGCTCGCATGTTTTTGGAAGCCTTAAATACTGATCGGCAGCATTTCCTGATCATGCTCAAAATATGTTTCCAAGCTCTCTTGAAAAAAAAATGCTAATGCTGTCAATGGTATTGTGAACTTCAGCTTCCAAGGTTCACAAGTGTGACAGAGTGATTATAATGGGATACTTGCCTTGATCTCTTCTTCGGAGGTGAACGTGAGTGAACAGTTGTTGCACTTGTAAAAGAGGTTGGTTTTTGGTCCACCTAATGATCCACCCAGGCTGGAACCCAGGCTGCCACGACCTTTTCCCTTGTCACCCCGCAGTAGTGGGCACCGGCTGATGTGGGCCATGAGGTCTTTTGAGTTACCACAGGGCTGCAGGCACTTTGCACACGACCACGTCTGTGGGCCTGTATGTGTCACAACAAAATTCAACATTCTGTATTATAATCCACGTCACAGAAAGCTAGCCAGTGGACTGCAGCTAATGAAAGTAACAGAGTACTGTTAAGCCCATTTATGACCCTGCAACACTCAACTACAGTAGAATTTAGATTATATGATTATAGCTGACCCAAATTCCGCAATTATACAAATTTTAAGGTTGTTTTGGGTGACCGACATTATATAAAATGCGCCGTGATTCGGTGTTACACGAATAGTTTTTTCCCAGCCACCACGAATGATACTAACGCGCAATTTACCGCTGCACGCGAGCAGCGCAATGCGACTTGTCTTTGAGAGGAAGGCCCGTTCAGTGTTCACACTTGGCCTTGAGAAGGAAGCGAATGCTGCAAAACTACTGGGAATTCCCCTTGCTTCGCCACCTAAGTAGTTATAAAACCACACCGCAAGGAAAAAATAACAGAGAGAGAGAGAACAAGAAACCAAGTTTCCCGCCAAGCAATAGAAAATTGCTTTTCGGTTCACAGCATGCAATGGCATGACTCAAACCACGTGATGTAAACCAGCCGCAAATTCAACATAGAGGCAAAGGCACCGGTGTTGGCTCGCATCAACGAAATTACAAACTACCTGGCGCAGCACAACGAAGCCCACGGCTTCAACAGGGATGCTTTCATCGAGAGCCTGGTTTAGATTACGATCGCCGAGAACAGCGCAAGTGGAAGAAGGCACAGCAGTGAGTCAGCATGCTCTAACATGTCTTGCTTTTGCACAGCCAGCTGAATCCGCAAACGTCACCGCTGGTGCGTCCGATCGTGTTGTTTCTGCTGGCGTATTTCCTGAAACAACGTTAGAAAAGGTGCAATCTTGTTTCTGTTTAGCGTTTCGCATGAATAACTACAACTCTGTATAAGTTTTCATGCTGAAGAAACAGGCAAAATGGGATGAATTTTTTAAATGGTAAAAACGGCTGCTTTCGCATTTTCACTTCGCTTCTGAAGTTTTTATTTTTTTACGTGTCAACATTGCAGCGTGGTTTAGATGGCAAAGCGAGTGAATTTCCGGTGAGTTTTGCTGCTTTTGCTCCCTTTGAGCAGCATGAGTGAGGAAACTGCCACATGATCTTATTCTTTTATGGCGGCTTTCTTGAGAGACATCGATGGCGGAAAATTTCACAAGATCATCACGGACTTTTTAAACAAGGAGCAATTGACCTCAATAAAGTTCTTGTTCATCTTCATGATCAGCTGTAACTTGTTTTGGTTCAGACGAATTGAGTATGATACAGGCATTTTGCGTGCTACCTACAAATTCGTATCATCAAGATTCTACTGTGATAAGAACAAGAACAGTAGCAACCATCAAAATATGCATTATTGCAACATCGTCACAGTTGTGGCAACGACTACTGGTCTGGTTGCGTACCTTATTTTCTAGCGTATAGAAACCTGCGCGAAATTCGCCTAAAATACAGAGTGGAAGTCATGGGCGCGAGTCAATGCGAATTTCAATGTACAAGTTGGGTACAAGCCACTACCTCATGGTAATGAGAGAAAGGCAGCCTCACAGTAATAGGCAGGCATGTTTTTTTAAAATTTAGATTCTTGATTTGTTTGTAGCAGGGATCTGAATCAGATGCAGAAACTGCTTATTACTACAAGAAAATATGGCAATTGCAGGTGAACACAGGGCAGCAGTTAACCACTACGACGCCTGTGCATGGTTGCATCATTCGTGATAGAAGCGATAGCCCTTTGGCCCATTTGGCCATGCCACTTTTCAGTCACGGTGACAAAAATAACGTAAGGCGGTAGCTTGCACCCATCCACTGTCACCGCCAGCATTACGGTGCATCGTTGTTTATCAGCACCAGACGTTCTGGCGATGAAGCTCCGTGCACCTTTCTCCTCCACAGTCATGTTCAGCGGCATATTATGGCAAAGGGGAGTCTGATCGGCGTTGCCGATTTGAGACAAAACTGAAGTCTTTCTGCTGTCAGAGCTTTATAACAAAATGGTGCAAGTATTACACCACTTTGTCCTCATATGCTGCGAGCAAACGCTGGCACAAAGTGGTCCGCCTTCGCAGTGCAAGGCCATGGCGTCGCATGAAATGAGTTGTTCATCCGGAGCTGGCTTTGAGCTCTTTTGCTTCAATGCACTGCGCTCAGGCTATTCTGCGTGCCTCAGTCTGCACAATATTCAACGACACAGCATAGCCGTCTTGTCGTAGCACCCGCATATGCCAAACCAGTTGCTCTTCGACCTTCGAATACCTGCCAATCTTGGCACCGCGGAAAGCCTGTCATGTCTTCTTCGTCGCCTTCAGTTTTCTTCCTTAATCCCTCCAGTACTGAATATTGGTTTCGCCAACCCCAAATGCCTGCTTGCAGCCCGGTTGCCGTGCTCCAGTGCGTACTTCACTGCTTCAGTTTAGATCTAGCCGTGCAGCTTGCATAGTTTACCATGGTGGAACCAAAGTTGAATGCACGATCACAACATACACACACCACTTGCGAAATGGCGTTTTTTTCTTTTTTTCTGATGATGGTGATGGCGATCAAGCCCCCAACATTGTACATGTGACCTCCAAAGAGCGCGGCGATTTGGGAGGTATCAGTAAACAATGAGTTTTTTTTTTTTTTTTCGGCACTCATGAGTGCTTTCTTTTTCAAGTTTTTATTTCAACAAACAAGTCGCTGCACTTCAATTTTTTTATTCACTCGTTGATTAGCTTTTTTTTTTTCCTTCAGGGTACGGGGACAGTGTTCCAACTGTACCGCTGGGCAGTAGAATCGTTTCTGATCACGGCCAAGTTCGGGGTGCGCGTATTATGCGCGGAATTAAAAGAATCGAATTTTCCGCGACAAACTAGGGGGGCGCCTATTATGTGAGTAAATACGGTAAGTGATACAGCTTGGTGCCTCTGTTTTCTTCTAGTGGCGGGGTGGTCATTTGTTGTAGGTTGCATTTCCCCTTGTGAAATATGCATCATGCAAATGAGCTTGTTCATGTGAAACTTTTCAACGAGGGGCGTGCTTTTGCATTAAATAGACTTGACAGCAACATAGTCAGGTTTAGCTTGTGACTTGCAAAAAAGGCAACAATCACAAACTGTTTTTGTGTTTTTTTTCGCATGAGCACTTCATTTCGGCTGGTGAGTCCATGGAGTATTTTTATTTTTGGGGGCCTTATATTTTACGAGCATAAGAACCAAAGAAGCTGCACAGAACTCTGGATCAAGGCCCACAGGCCCGTAAAATGCAAAGGAAAAAGTTACTATGCGCCCTAGTGCCTCTCTGATAAGCTCTGACCCACAAAGTTTCTATACATTTTCCCTTCTTTTTCATCATCACCATCATCAGTCTGACTATGTCCCCTGCAGGGCAAAGGCATCTCCCATGTTTCGCAAATAAACCCATCCTGTGCTTGCTGCAGCCACGTTACCAACTTCATCTCGATGATGTGTGGCATTTTGTGGCGCAAGGGCCATTTGATAGCCAAAGAGCGCCAGGTCATAAGACGACATGTGAACAATGAATATGTTGGGTGCCTGTATAAGGGCCTTGAAATTCGTCGCATTAAAGTGGGTAAAACATAGAAGTAATAAAATAATGACAGTGACGTGAAATGTATAGTAAAAATGGGTGGCAAAAGGCTCTCATAATAAAAGCATGTGTGAAGATATCTGGCACTAGCACAAGTGCCTCATCAATGCCCTTGTGTCCAAGGGCCACGAGGCAAGTGCTTTTCAATGTAGCCACCGCAGCAGCAACCTTTCTTAGGAGGTCCCGCTACGCAATACTTGGGTATATTACATGATAGAAGGTGATATCTCTTGAAAAAGCTAGCACAGATTTATGAGTGAAAAGCGGTTCCCTACCGACGAACATTGCAGGGTGTAATGGTATATGTTGTCGGTAAGATAATGAATAGTGTAGTCTTCTTAGAGTGTGTAATTGTTCACACTGGATTAAAATGTGAAGAACTGTTAGTGCTTCACTCGATCTGTCACACAATGGTGGGTCACCACCAGACAAAAGATACGAGTGTGTCGTGTATGTGTGTCCTATTCTGAGCCTTGTTAGTGTTACCTCTGTACAACGTGATTTCGATACCAGCGGCCAATAACGTGTAGTTTGTTTTGTGTGTGTCTATCCCACTTGCTCTGCCAGTAGTCCCTGAGCTTTCGTTTGAGAGACGGTTTAAGGTCAAGGGCCGGGATCGACATGAGGTAGTGGCAGTGCTTTCGTGGACGGATGCAGCAAGCTGATTCGCCATCACGTTGCCTTGGATCCCACAATGCCCTGGCACCCAGCACACTACGACATGTTGTTTGAGTGTGTAGAGTGTGCATAAAACTGAGTAAAGTGAGACGAAAACAGGTTTTTTTTTGTTTTTTAAGAGTTTGTTTCAAGAGTTTTTACCACACTGAGGGAGTCCGTATAAATTACTTCGTAGTTGTAATTGTTTGATGTGTTTAGCGCCCACAAGTATCACGTACGCTTCCGCTGCTGTGAAAATACTTGTGTTTGGATGTAGAGGGTTAGCATTCGAAAAGAATGGGCCGACATCAGCGTGGGACACAGAAGAGGTAGATCTAGAGACATCTGTGTTGAAGACCCAGGAAGCATGTTCGGATATGGGCATTGGGCATGTGTTTTGTAACGCCTAGGAAAGACTCATCGCAGTCTATAGTCTGTCACTGCCATGGTGGCGGGTATGCTGCAGGAGCCATTAAACTGTGTTCAAGTGACACACCAGTTTCCTCAGCTAGACCCTTCAGTCGAACTGAGTAAGGCTGCCTCATCGAAGGCCCGTTTTGAAACAGAATGGAGCTCTACAAATTATTAATAGTGGAGTATGAGGCGTGCTTCTTGTCTGCTTTAACCTTAAGGAAATATACAAAAGACATGCAAGTTCTCTGCAGATGAAGCGATTACTCATTTGACTCAACGTAGAGGCTTTCTAGGAGCTGGTGTGAAAAGCACCCGTAGAAAGGTGGA